CAGATCACTGGTTTCAAAGTCCAAATCCAACACCCCAACAACCTCAGCAGTTGCAAACCTTGTTGTTCCTCTTCAGCTCCCTTCTGCTGACACTCTAGAACCTTCCATAGAGCCTTATCTGAAACCCATCAACCTCGTGGAGGCCTTGGCCGAACTTTACTACAGGGTAGAGTGTTGTCTTCAGTCTGAGAAAGCATCACTGTGTGTGGAGCAGTTCACGCTTTTGCGCAGCCTCGGAGACCAGAAGCTTCTTAGGAGATGTCTCAGGACAGCACGCCAGAACGCTGAGGATGTGCTTTCCAAGGTTGTGCTTTCTGCTTGGTTGAGGTATGAGAGGAGGGTTGATGAGCTTGAGGGTGTGTCTTCAATGGATTGTGGTGGATGTGTTCTTGAATGTCCAAAGGTGAATTTGGTCCATGGGTTTAGTCCTTGTTTGATTAATGATAGGTGCCAGTGTCAGTGTCCCCAACAAAGTAGAACCGAAGAAAGTGTGTGTTTGTGTTTGCCTGATGAGGAAAAGGATGTTTCTTTTTGCGTTGGGAATGAGGAAATTGATTGTGTTAGGTGGAGAATTGCAGCCCTATCTGACCCTTTTAAGGCTATGCTATATGGTGGCTTTGCTGAGTCCAAGATGAGGAAGATTGATTTCAGCCAAAATGGGATGTGTCCAGAGGGTATGAGGGCAGTGGAGTTGTACAGCAGGGCTAAGAGGTTGGATTTTTTCTGTCCCACCACTGTTTTGGAGCTTCTTTCTTTTTCCAATAGGTTTTGTTGTGAGGAGATGAAGGGTTCTTGTGATGCTCATTTGGCTTCAATTGTTGGAAGTGTTGATGATGCATTGGTACTTATTGAATATGGGTTGGAAGAGAGAGCACCCCTGCTTGTGGCTTCCTGCTTACAAGTTTTGCTCAGGGAGCTTCCAAATTCATTGTGTAATTCTAAGGTGATGAATTTCTTTTGTAGTTCTGATGGAAAGAGAAGGTTGGCCATGGTGGGGTTTGATTCTTTCTTATTATACTATTTCCTGAGTCAGGTTGCTATGGAGGAAAGCATGGTGTCAAAAACTACAATGATGTTACTGGAAAGGTTAGGGGAGTGTGCTAGTGAAAGGTGGCAGAAGGCCCTTGCATTCCATCAATTGGGGTGTGTGCTGCTTGAACGGAAAGAGTATAACGATGCTCAACATTGTTTTGAGATAGCAGCTGAAGCAGGTCATATGTATTCTGTGGCTGGTGTGGCCAGAACAAAGTACAAGCAGGGTCAACCATATTCAGCCTATAAGTTAATTAGTTCTCTCATATTTGAGCACAAACCTGCTGGGTGGATGTATCAGGAGCGTGCTCTTTACAACATGGGAAGGGAAAAAAGTTTTGATTTGGATGTTGCCACTGAATTGGACCCCTCCCTTTCATTTCCCTATAAATATAGAGCCCTGGCGAAGGTGGAGGAGAAGCAGATAAAGGCCGGAATCTTAGAGCTTGATAAGATTATTGGATTTAAGCTCTCTCCTGATTGCTTAGAATTGCGGGCTAGGATGTTTATTACACTTAAGGATTATGACAGCGCCATAAGAGATATCAGGGCATTGTTAACTTTGGAACCAAATTATATAACTTCAAATGAAAAGATCACAGGGAAATACTTGGTTCATCTCCTTAGTCATGTGGTGCAGCAAAAGAGTCAGGCAGAATGTTGGATGCAATTATATGAACAATGGTCTTCTGTAGATGATGTTGGTTCCTTGGCTATTATACATCAAATGCTGGAGAATGAACCCAGAAAGAGTCTGCTAGAGTTTCGTCAGTCCTTACTTCTTTTGAGGTAAGCATATCTGTAAATCAAAACTGTAGGTAGTATCTCAATTCTTCAACTTTGAATTGATATGGTATTTATTGTACATTGTTCTGGAGGCTTTTAGTCAGTGCTTGATATGTTTATCGCATTATTTGTTGTTCATAATACTGAGATTTGATTTAATTTGAACTTGTCAATGTTTCCTGGTCCGTCCATGCAATTCAATTCAGTTAGTAAAATACTAAAATACAAAATGAAGAGAATTCCTCACATTTATGAATTTCATAGGTTAAACTGTCAAAAGGCTGCGATGCACAGTTTGAGGATGGCCAGAAACCATTCCAGCTCAATGCAAGAAAGGTTAATTTATGAAGGATGGATTCTATATGATACTGGCTATCGGGATGAAGCTCTGGCTAGGGCTGATAGGTCAATTACAATTCAAAGATCATTTGAAGCCTATTTTCTAAAAGCATATGTGTTGGCAGATACAAGCCTAGATCCTGAATCTGCTTCTTACGTTATTGAACTTCTGGAAGAAGCACTTAAATGCCCTTCAGATGGTCTTCGCAAAGGACAAGTTAGTGATCTCTTCCAATATCTGTTATTGATTAAGTCTTTGTTTTCCAGTCATTTGATTGTCTTCTGCAATATCTTGTAGGCACTAAATAACTTGGGGAGTATTTATGTAGATCGTGGTAAGCTTGATCTTGCAAAAGCATGCTATGAGAATGCCCTTGCAATTAGGCACACAAGAGCTCATCAAGGTCTAGCACGAGTTTATCATCAGAAAAGTCAACGAAAAGCTGCATATGATGAGATGACCAAGCTAATTAATAAGGCAGAGAACAATGCCTCAGCATATGAGAAACGATCTGAATACTGTGACCGTGAGATGGCAAAGGTTGATCTTGTCGTAGCAACCCAACTGGATCCATTAAGAACATATCCATATAGATACAGGGCAGCAGGTGCTTTCCTAATCTTTCATTCTTTACCATTTGCCATGTGCTTTTTTAACTAGAGACAGAGATTTAGTGATATGTTTGTTATGAGTTTTGATATACTAATCTACAGTTAGTTATCAGACTTGCTTTCATGATTACTGAAAACATTTTTTTATGAATGATTGCAGATAAAACTATTTTTATTATGATGAAGTAATTTTACATTTTACATTCTGATTCAGTAATTCGTAGACCAATTACCTCTGTTACTAACAACCTAACATTTGTCGCTTATTGGATTTCTTGGCACAACCATGTCATGAAGCACAAAAATGTGACTAAGTTTTGTCTTAGTGCGATTTCTACTTTAAATTCTAAGTTGGCCATCTATATTTACATTAATAAGTTGATTGGATTGTATTTTGGAATCACAGTTATTTAAGCATTTATCCCTATTTTGGTGGTCCTTCATCTTTGAAGTTGTCATGATCACATACTGATTTACTAAGTTAGTAAGTTATTGTGGTTCAATATAGATTGAGACCCTTAGCATGTTTTGGGATAGAGTATAATTTTCAACAGAAAAATATATAAATACATACTGCATGGTTAAACCTTGTTTTTATTTTTGATAAATTTAATGGTGTGATTTTTTCTTCATTAAGTATGGTTTTGTTAGATTTTACACACATTAATAAGTTTGTTATGGCACCACGTGTAAGTTATTGATATATGCACACTATTCCTCTTTTTGATGCTTGCATCTTGATGGATCCTAGCTACTTATCATTATTGAATTATGAAATGTTTTACAAAGTTTTAAATAACTCAAATAGCTACACATGACACAATGAAGTAGAAACTGAAAAAACTTGTTAACAAATTTGTTTCCAAAAGTATTACCTTTATGCAATTTTTCAACTTGTAGCACCAAGATTTTTGGTCACTGTCTTTATGGTGAGTTATTTTGTATGTAGTATGCATAATATATGCAAAAGCAAAAACAGGTTAGTAAACATAATAGGGATAGATTTTATTCCCTCCTTAGTTTCCAACTTCACAACAGTTTTATAGGGCATTTTTTCCTACAAAGACGGAAAGAAGCAAAAGAGGATAATTAATGTATGGCTTTAAATTTACCAACATTTAACCTGCATTTCAAAAGTTTACTTTAGTGCCTAGATTAGAGACACGCATCACTTTGTTAAATCAGGGATTTTACTCACATAAAGTGTTACATATAAGCAGTGATGATGGATGAGCAAAAGGAAACTGAAGCTGTAGAAGAGCTCACCAAGGCCATAAATTTCAAACCTGACTTGCAAATGCTTCATCTCCGAGCAGCATTTTATGAGGCAATGGGGGACCTATCTTCAGCTCTTCAAGATTGTCAGGCAGCTCTATGCTTAGACCCTAACCATACAGACACACTTGATCTATATCAAAGGACACGGAAACCCAGCTTTTAGTTTTAATCATAAACAACATGCACATCAAAAGGCTTAAATGTGAATATGTTGGTTAGTAAACTGCTAGGGCATCCCAACTTTGATAAGATATACAAGGGGAAGACAGATTGTCCAACTGTTGAAAAAATGCAACCCCCCCCCCCCCCC